GAAGACTATCAAGGTTATGCTGGATTTACATGGCATACCAAGCAATTGCCTATAGACTCTGCAGTAAAGTGATAACGTCTTGGGTATCAATTGAGTTGAATTATGCATTTAAATAATAGGGATATCCGATCATATATAGACTTTTAGTATCGGGAATTCAAGCGTCGTGATACACCCCAAACACCTTCTAGTCCTTACGTTTTGAAAATTGACTGTGAAAGAAAATCTCATCTCAAGAAAATATCTCGTCTGGCATCTTGGTTCCCAGAGTCTCCTCGAACAGATGCCATAAAGTTAAGAGTTGCAAAAAAATCGTCATGTTGTACTTTAATTTTATAATTTATGATTTTTAATTGCTTTAGATTGTTATTTTTCACTTTATTCAATTGAACTTTCACTCATATGCATTTTCCGTTATTTATCCTTTGGTTTAATTTGTATTTATCCTTTTTCCTGAAGTCTGAAATTGTAATTACATCTGCAGACCCTTCGCAGAGCAACAGAATATTGCCAAACCACTTTTAATTGGGGAGGATCAAAGGGAATATCGTATGTACTATACATAGCATACAAGTATAGATCTCGACTTACCTCCGTGATCGTCGATTTCCAGCCCGAACTCATCCTCCGAAACAGACTCATCATCGGAGCTGAGATTGGATCCACTGTGATTGCCACTTTGTTGCATGTGATGCTGCTGCTGCTGCTGTTGCTGATTCGTTGTACTGCTGGTAGACCTGTGGTTCACGTTCCCATTCTCATTAGGATTGGGTGATTGGGTGGCTTTGGGTGCAACACAGGAGCTGGCAGCCAATTCCTCGATGCTGTGCAACGAGCTTCTTGTCTGATTGGCAGTGATTGTTGTTCTTGTTGTCGTTGCTACACCCGATCCGGATACCGAGCTCGTACCCGAACCCGATCCTGAACCAATTCCCACTCCTGCTGTGGTTGTGGTGGTGCTTATATGGCTATCATCCTTGGAAGCGCCTTGCACATCAAAATCCAAGAGCTGAGCGGTGCTCGAGGACAGGAAATTGGTGGTGGAAACGGATGCCGAGTTGGTGGCACTCGCTGCCAGGGGTTTCAGCTGATGGTACTCTATGATCGAGCTGCTGGATAGTGTGGATTTCTGCAGCAGTGCTGGATCGATGCATTCATTGGTTGAGGCTTGAGAATTTCGATGGGAGAACAGGATGTTGGAAAAAGAGGGAACCGTCACCGATTCGATGATGACTGATCCACCGCCTCTCTGCAGCGATTGGGGAGCTGCCGCACCTGTGTGGATGGTTCCGTTTTTAGCCTCCAAATTGTTATTGTTGTTGATGTTGATGTTGTGTTGGGTGGTTGTTGTGGTTGTTGGAGTGGTGGTGCCCATTAGGGTCATGTTACTATTGCTATGAGGATTGGGACTGGCCACAAAGAAGCGTTCGCAGAGGCCACTCAGAGAGATGCCACCATCCAATTGGCTGCCATCAAAGTTATCTGTGGCAATTGCTGCTGCTGCTGCCTCTGCTCCTTCAGATGCTGCAGTTACACCATTGCTGCTGCTGCTGGCAGTACTATCCTTCTGCTGCAGCTGCAGCTGAGAGTAGCTGAGGAACGGCAGCATGGGACTACTTCCCGCCGCCAGCATCTGATCCTTGTGATGGTGGGACATAAGATGTTGCTGCTGCTGATGCTGCAGGTGATGATGATGGTTGTTGCTGGTTGAGGCCTCTGTGACTGCTGCTGTCGCATAATTGCTGCTGCTGCTGGTGCTCTCCGCCAGCAAAGGTACATTGAAGGTGTCCATCTTGTACGGGATATTCTTTCGTTATATATAGTAGGTATATTTTTTACTTTAATTTTGTACGTTTCGTTGTGATGTGTATTGTTGTTGGATTAGTGATTGATGGCAGGTAACGATAGTAGAATTATCTGTATAATTTCTTACGCTTAAAAGAACCTGCAAAAAAAGGAAACAATATTTAAAAAACATGGAAGCAAATGAGGAAATGCCCAAGGCAACACAAGGTCAAGTTGAAGGTCAACCACAACCACCCTGTGCAATGTGCATGTATGTATTTAGGTCAAGGACAAACCTAACTGTATTCAAAAGCATGTCAAGGTCAACTCTTTACAGGTAACCAAAAGCTTTTAGAGCTTTTCCTTCTAAGCTTTCGTCCAGATTTTTCCCTCTATTATTCCATCTTATGATGAATGACTTTTTTCAATAGAAACTATTATTTAATTTACAGAAAATCATAGTAATGCCAACATAAAATAAAAATAAAAATACATTTGATCCATAAACGAGGAAACGCGTTTACGTGGCAGCCCTCAGTCTACGTGTGTATGTTAGCCTTCCTTTTTCCTAGTTCCTAGACCATTAATTATTTATTAAGCTATGACAAAGTCAGAGGAGGACATTTCAAATTAAGAATTTAATCAATATATATTTTTACCGAATCTAGTATCCAATAACCGGGACCCTCTTCACCCCACAGTTGTATGTACATACATAATTAGTCTCTTGATGATATTTCTTATAGCACTTAGGGAGGAGGGTTACTGACAAAAGGGAGATCCCTTCCATGGAGAACTGAGGGTTAGTCCAACCCCAGAAATCATGTGCTGGTTTTCTTGACATGTTGGAAGGGAGGGACCCTATTCTACCGACCGTTCACTTAGTTAAGATCCATTTAACTTTACTTATTACTTTCGTGCCTGGTTCTTCTCCCCCTTTGGAAACACTTTTCCACTTCATAAAACCGAAAAACTGGTAATCCCCCACTCTGACAGCACTTGAATATGTAAAATATGTATGTACATACATACATATGTAACTTTAATTAACTTTACCCAACTTTCGAGTTATTTCTTATTCGTTTTGTTGGGTTTCGTTTTCAGATCCCCCTTAACCAATCCCATTCAACCCCTGTGCGGGTTCGCCCAACTAGACAAAAGACCTGACAGATGGACAGCTTTAGGGATAGGGGGGATGGATGGATAGAAGTGGAGCTATGGAGGAAGCTAGTGGGGAACAGGGACTTGGACTTACCTTTCATGCAGCTGACGTTGACGTTGACGCTGACTGCGACACGTTCTCGTTCTTTCGTTGTGGCTTCTGCGCATGCGCCCGGTTTCCAGCTATGATTCCAAGACGATCGCAGAGAAGTGAAGAAGAAGAAGCAGCGCTGGAAGCTGCCGCCTCTTTGTTGTCTGGTTGGGTCTCGCTCTCTCGCCCGCTCTCCTTCGCTCTCTTTTGGGCATACAAAAACCAGTTGGAACCGAAAGCAAAAGTTCTATTATTATGTCTTGGACTTTTGTTGGTTTTCTTTTCGCTTTTGCTTCTCTCTCCCTCTGTGTCTCTCTATTTTGCTGTCGGCCTCTCCGCTTCACATGGGAATTCGTGGAGAAGGCGAATTTATAATTCGCAAAACAAAGCTTGCGTGTGATTCATAATGCTGTCTCCCTTTCGGCGGATCGATCTCTCGCTCACTCACTCCCTCTCCGCTCTGTATATCTCTTCCTCTCTCGCTCTGGTTCTGCCACGGCCTGCAGCAACAGTTTCCGCAGCTGCTGCTGCTGTTGCTGCGACGACGACACGGAGGGGCAACGACGAAAGCTTTTTTAGCATATTTTTTGCGCCCCCCTCACACAGACACCAGGCCCAGACGCGGACACGCACACACACACAGCCAGCGACGCCGAACGCATTTGCGATTTTATTTTTTTTGTGTTGTTCTCACTATTCGTTCTTTTTTTTTTTGTGCGCTACTACGCCAATTCTCGCGATTCTCCTGCTATTCGCTGGCTTGTTTCGCCTATTTCCTCTTTGGCCTGGTCGTTCTCACATCGAATTTTGGTTTCTGGGAGGAACACACACGGCAGAGGAGAATGAAATTATTGCAATGGGATGGGAAATGGGAAACTCTTCTTGCACAATCGTCGCACGCGCGCAACAAGCGAAAAGCTCTTCCCACAAGTACAACAACAACAACGGTACGTATAAATTGCAATTCCTATTACACACACAGCACAGTTTTCTGTATGGGTACACACACAGGCACTCACAGATAGAGATATAGTGGGGAACTTGTTGTTGCGTTTACTTTTACGGAGGGGGGGGCGGGGCCGAGTACTGCTGCTCCAATTCTATGACACAACAACAGCGCTATCTATCGCCTTGCCTCATTCTGTGATAATTTCATAAAAATTGCACATTAGCAGGCAGCAGAAACCAGAAACATACACACCGACGAACACACAGTAGCACAACACAGTCCACTCCACTCCACTCCCGTTATGGACACATGGGGAAGGGAATTATTTTATACACAGACTAACGCTTGATTCCTGAGAGTTCTTTTCGCACCGTTTACTTTCACTTGAATCTCTATTTTGCACTCTCCCTCTCGATCGGTGTGTGGTTTTATTTTTCGGGAAAAACTATTCACGGAGCCGCGCACAACGCAAGCAAAAAATTGGGTCTGTAGGCCAACGCAAATGGCAAACGGGAACACAGTAAAGAGTAGCAAAAGTTGTTGGCGTAGGTAGAAGAAGACGGAAAGCCCTCGCATAGTGTGTGTGTGTGTGTGTGTGTGTGCGCACGTATGTGGATCTCCGGAGAGTAGCGGGGCCAAGGACAGCAGCAGCAACGAATTTATTCTTGGCCTTTAAACGCGCATTTGAAGAACAAGGACGGCAATCATATGCTCAAAGCTCGCTCGCATGCACACACACACACACACACACACACACTCGATAGAGAGGAACTTTTGTCGCTTGCCAAGAGCGCGCCAATTGTAATCGGTGTGTTATCGAATTTAAATATTTCAGCTCAAATGTCGTCATCTATCTGAATGCATTCTACATAATATTTTCCTGCTGTGGTAGTTACCATTTTTATTTATTAGACTCATTTTAGATATTTGTGCAGATAAAATATTAAGTTTTTGTTTCGTTTCTTTCGTTCTTAATAAAAACACTCCTTTTTCAAATTTCCAAAAATTCACATTTCATTTATTTATTTTTTTATTAGTTTTTGTTTTGTTTGTTTGTTTTTATAGTTGCACAAAACTTACGCACGACAATTACATACATACATAGAAAATTACAAACCTATCTGAATTGATTTACATTATAGTTGGATATATACAATATATTCTGTATGTTATGATAATAATTTCGTTTAAAAATACACAATACATAAATACACTCATCTCTTTAATCTGATTACAATATATTATGTTGTAATAATTACGCCTTACGTCTACACTTTTGCTAATTTGTTTTTTCTTGTTTTAAAACCATAGATTACACATTATCCCTAGATATTCAATATACAATATACACATGTATATATCTTTTTTATTTAGCAAACATGTTACTGCTTGTGTGTCTGTCTGTCTGTCAATTCTCTTACAACATTCCAATCCAATCCAATCCTATCTCTCATTCCTTCCGTTTGTTCTACTCTCTAATTTTCAATAGATTCCAGATTTCATCAATATTCTCTGTCTCTCCCGATCTCTCTCTCTCCCTCTCTCTCTCTTTCCCTCTCTGTCTCGATTTACATCGAATTTTGCATTTCCCCATTTTCGTTTTTCTTCGTTTTGAGTGTGTATAGCACCTTTGTATCACTTTGCATTAGCTCTAATTTAATTTCCTTTAAAAAAGATCTTCCATCTTCCAAAGACAAAGACGTGTGTGTGGTAAAAACTAGCTACTAGCTAAAATATATATCGTATATCGTATATATATATTTAGATCGCTGCTACAATTATATTCGTACTAATTGTTTTTGTTTCATTCAAATTTGTTTGTATCTCTCCGCTCATCATTTATCTAGGGGGTTCCCTCCATCTCGTTCTGGTTCCTAAATATTTATAGTATCCACTATCCACTATCCTCTATGTATATCTCTGTTTAAAATTTCATTAAAATGGTCTTGACGCCCAACAAGTTCTTGACACTGTCGTTGTATTTGATGAGCACCACTTTCGAGGAGCTGAACATGTTCAGCTTCTCGCCGGCGCACAGCAGCTGCAGACAGGTGGCCTTCTCCAGGAAATCATCGATCTTGAACTCCCGCAGCAGCTGCTTCTGGCTGTTGGCCAACGCATTGTTGTTGTTGTTGTTGTTCGGACAGAGCTGTGGGAGGAAGAGGAGGGAAATCGTTAAATACATGAAATACATACGGGATGGTTTATCGTACCTTATTGAGGAGCGTATCCTTGGACTTAACTTTAAGTAAATTGCACAAATCGTTCAGTAGTACCCATTTGTCACTGCCCTCGTCTTTGAGCAAGTACAGTGGTGGCAGGGGCACGTCGGCCTCTTCAAATTCAAAAATATCACCATTCAATTCGTTATCATCCATTGTCTCGCTCTCCGCCAGATCCTCGTCATCAAGTCTATTCCGTTCTCGTTCTCGTTCTCGTTCCCTTTCCCTATCCATATTTATATCCAAATCCATATCCACATCCAGTTCCTTCTTCACTTCATTCTTCACAGTCACAACGCTTGTTACTAAATTATTCTCAACATTTGCATTCAGCTCCTCCTCGTTTCTGTTCTTATTGTTATTGGTATCCTCATGCTGCCTCTGCTCCTGCTCATCCTCCTCGGTTCCTGGCTCCACTTTCACCATCATCGTTGTTGTTGTTGTTGTTGTTGTTGTTGTGCTGCTGCTATATTTATTCCAGTCTTTGTTGCACTTGTCTCCCCATTCAGCTTTATCGATGTCTCCACCTTCTTCTCCGGCTCCTCCTGCTGTTCCTCCTTCTTGGCTGCTAACAGTACATTTCCATTTCCATTTCCATTTACGTTGCTGCACAACTTCTGCTGCTGCTGCTGCTGCTGCATCTGCATCTGCATCTGCTTCTGATTCACCTCTTTCCTTTCTCTACGTAGAGCTCTGCTCTTATCACAAGCTGTGTTCGGTACATTATCGAATATATCATAGCCGTATTCCTTAGCATCTGAAATAGATTAAAGAAAGAACATTTAGCAAGCGATCTCTGGGCTGAACATAAGGACACACTCTCACAATGGAAGGAATGAAAGAACACTTCTTTGCTCTGCATATAAGTAAGCTGTAGAGATCGGTAGAACTAGGCTTTATATACGAATATGACAAATTTGGATGCCTATATCTACGCCCACATACCGAGTCCCGAACAGTTCGTGATTCATGGTCTCTATTCGTGTCATGCACCTGTAGATGTGAACCGAGTTTGGTATTCAATTTAAGTGTTCCCATGGACAGACATGGCTAAATCCACGCGGATACTAATTACTACAGATGAAACTGATCGCTCAGATTTATTTAAAGTGGCAGTACAACCCAGGGAAGGAGTTGCAGCCACGGGCGAGTTTTCTTGGTACCAATTTGTAGGTAGAAGCATGAAAGCCCGGCGACCACTGCTACATTGAAAGGTTCTCTGCTATGTATCTAGATATGTATCCACTGAAGATCCCTCACTGACGATTCCTTCCATCTCTCTTCTCCAGATGCAGGTGTTCCACTCACCAAAGATGTCCCATGGTCCTTGGAATCGCATTGGATGAATGTCAGCGGCGGCACTTTGTGCATCGCTGAGGTGATCGCTGAGTATGCCACTCATCAGCTTGCTTGAAGCTAACGCCAGCGGAGTTTGACCTGAACAGAGGGGAGATAGGAAGGTCAAATGTGTTTGTGTTTGAGGGTTTCTGGAAGGGATTCGGAGTCCCACTAATACCCACCTGAGTACGTTGCCAGCAACGGATCGGCTCCGTAGGAGAGCAGCAGTCGCACCACCTCCTCGTGATCGTTCTCGATGGCTCCGTGGAGCGGACGGATGCCCGACTGGGCCGCCTCCGAGTGATTCGCCCCGAACTGGAGCAGGATGCGGGCAATCTCCAGCCAGCCCTGGGTGCAGGCCTCGTGCAGGGGCGTGTACCCGGCGTTGTCCTTCTGGTCGGGATTCATGTGCATGCGATCCAGGCAGTAGACCACCACATCGATCAGCCCCTGGCGTGCGGCCTTGTGCATCGTGCTCTGGCCCACGCCCTTGTTGAGGACCCACTTTTGGATCTCGCGCAGGACATCCATCTCGGTCTTGATCTTCGCCGGTAGATGGGAGCTGCCCGCAATGGTGCTGTCCGTGTCGTCCAGTCGCTCATCGGCCGCGCTTTGATTGTGCTCGGAGAGGACATGCTGATTGGATGTGGCATGGGCATGGGCATGGCTGGAGGACTGGTTGTGGCTCTGCTGGTTCTGCTGACTGTTGGAGGCCGGGGTCGGTCGCTTCTTCTTGCGTATGTAGTCGAAGCCGGAGCTGCCCTTGCGCCGCAAATACTTCCGCTTGTGCGGACACTGAGTGGCGGAGGGCTGCTTGTCCCCGACGAGGGTCCTGCGGCCCAGCAGCTTGTTGTCGTTGGCGCTCACAATGCTGTTCATTTGGGCGAGAAACTCCTCGTACTTCTGATAGCTGATGGCCGCCTCCTCCTCGTTGTCGCCTCCGCCACCCGCCTCTTGGGCGCACTCCGGCGGGGCCGAGGCGGGCCTCTCGGGACCCACAAATATCTCGCGTATGATCTCACGCCGCTGCTGGAGCTTCGACTCGGTGCGGGTCTTGCTCTGCAAGACTTTGGTGTCGAATATGCTAAAGTGACGCTTGCTGGGATCGTCCAGGCAGCTGCCTGTCGTCTCGGCGTTGGCTTGCGGCGGCGGCGGCGGCTCCTGCTGTTGCGGCTGCTCGTACAAGGAGTTTGAGGCGGAGGTCTGCGAGGTCTCGCTGTGCAGCTGCAGGTTGGTGGAGGCCGGGGCCGACACGGAGACCGTGGTCTTGGTGCTGCTGCTGCTGCTGCCATTGGTCACGCGCAGGTGGAGCACATCAATTATGGACTTGGGCGTGTTCTCCTGATGCTGCTTGCTGGCGGCCTTCGTTCGGGGTCTGCCCCCGCCGGCGCGGCTCTTGAAGCAGGCCAGCTCCTGGCCAATATCACGGCGCTCCAGATCGGGCAGGGAGGCGGCCACCTTGTTCAGCTTGTTGATGGAGATCAGGCGATGGGGTATCTTCAGGGCCACCTTGTAGCGGTACTCTTCCAGGTACAGTTGCTGCTGCGGCGAGGTCTTGCTCTTGGCAGGACCTCCGGTTGACTGCTCCTGCTTCCCCTTGAGCTTCGTTCGGCCATTCGGTTGGCTGCTGTTGCAGTCCATGGCATCCAGGCCGCGCTTGTTGCGCAGTCGCGTGACCATCATCTCCTTCTTGCTGTCCACCACCTTGCGCACGTACTTCCGCTTGATCTTCGTGGTGGAGTTGCGGATGATCTTGTCGTTGCGGAGCACTTTGCTGTTGGCCAGCTGCAGCTCCAGTTCCTTGCGATGCTTCGAGCGGGTCATCGTGTTCAGGATGCGGTTCTTGAGGGGGGGAATGCCCCCCTTCGACTGCTGTTGCTGCTGCTTTCTGTGGGCCAGACTCTTGCCTGATTTCTCCTTCTTCTCCTTCTCCTCCTCCTCTTCTTCGTCCTCTTCCTCCTCATCCTCCTGCTCCTCATCGCTGGAACTGCTGTTCTCCCGGCTCTCCTCCTGCTTGGCCTTGGCCATTCCCTTCGCCTTTGCCGTCTCCTCGTGCTGCACATTGTCGGATGCAGATGGAGGCGGCGACACTGCCTCCCGCTTTACGAACTCCTTCTTGGACTCCCTCTCCTCGCTGGTGGAGGGTTGGCTGCCACCCTTCTCCTCTGCCGCTGCCGCCGCTGCTGCGGCTGCTTCCTCGGCGGTGCTTTGGCCCGTCTGCTGGCTGCTCTTGCCCGTCTGGCCACCCAGGGACCGCTGCCTCGCACGGCCTTTGCGCATGAGGAGCGGCTTCTTCTGCCGCTCGGTTGTCCGCCTGTGCAGCTCCGTGGTGTCGCTCTCCGAGGAGCTACTCTGGCCCGCCTTGGGCGCCAGTCTGGCCGCAATCCTCTGCTCCTGTTGCAGCCGCTTCTTCTCCCGCTCCACTTTGCTCAGCTTCTTCTGCGCCCCCCCGCCATTGCCCAGGGAGGAGCCGATGCCATTCGTTGTCGTCGTCACTTGGGTTGTTGTGGTGGCCGCTGATTCCCCATCTGCTGCTGCGGCTGCTGCTGCCGCAGCTGCTACTGCTGGTGGAGGCTGCCGCTTGAGTATCCGTGCCACGGGGAGATCATCTTCGCTGAGCTCCAGCTTGATGCTGCTGCCTGGGCAGGCGGGGATCACCGGTGGCTGGGCTTTGCTCAGCAGCTGCTCCACCAGATTGTTGCAGGTGCTGCCCCAACAGTCCAGGAGGCTGCCCTTGAAGCCCAGATCCTCATCCAGTAGGCCGAGATCTGCTCCTACTGCTCCACCTCCTACTCCCGGATGGCTTGTCGCCTGAGGTGGCGCCGGTTCCAGCTTGATTTGTATGTGGTTCGTCACCTGATGGTTCGGTGGCGTCCGTGCGACTGTAACTGCAGGAGAAGGCGCCAGGATGGCAGCTGGAGGCGCTACTGATATTGAATTGGTGGCAGGAGTCGTTGAGGTGACCAGCACGGGCGGCGTAAACGTGAAGCCCTTCAGCTCCGCCTTCGTGCGGATACGTGGCTCTGCCTTGGGCACAGCCATGGACATGGACGTGGACATGGAGGTGGACGAGGCGGAGGATGTGCTTGGCTGCAGCTCTCTCTCTCGCTCCCGCTCTCTTTTGGCGGCCAGCGCCTGTTCATTGACGGCTATCACCGGCACTGGCGCGGACACTGCCGCCTCCATGGCTGCATCCAGACGCGCCTGCTTGGCCGCCGCCTGGTTGTACTCCTGCAAGTGGCGCTTCCTGCCCAGATAGTTGGGGTTGCTGCTGTTGTGCTGGTGCTGGGGGCTGGGCGAAGGCGACTGCGAGGGCGTCGAGGAAGGCGAAGGCGCAGGCGTGAGCTCCGTCAGCTGTGGCAGGGGCTTGGGCAGCACCTGCACGATGCTCGTCTCGGGAGGCAGATTCTGATGCTGTTGCCGCTTGGCATACGGATTCGTCTCCAACACACTGGGACGCATCTGCTGAAGGGATTTGATCACCAAAGCAGGTGCCGCAGCAGCAGAAGCCAAAGGAGCAACCACAGGTGGCAGATGAGGAACTGTTGTGGCAGGGGCCTGTCGTATCACAGCCGTTGGCGCCGGACTCGTTGGAGTTCCCGCTCCCCGGTTGGCTGCGGCCGAAAAGCTCGCTGTGATGTCGAATCTCGGTAGACCCAAGCCTCCTCCTACCGCCAGATGCGGCAGCTGGGCTGACTTGTACTCCGTCGTCGTCGTTGTTGGGGTCTGATGGTGGGGACGCTGGTACTTGTATTCCGTGGAGTCCGCCGTCTGCTTCACCGTTCGCATGGACAGATCCAGCGGGGAGTAGAGCGTGGGCGCTGGCGCTGGCGCCGGCGCCGGTGCTGATGCAGGTGCAGGCGCAGGCGCCACCTGTTGGATGACCCTTGTGGCCGCTGGAAGGACATGGACATGGTTCCGTGGCGGCGGCTCCATGTTGAGGGTCTTCTTGATGATCTGCAGATTGAGCTCCTGCTCGCTGGCGGTGTTCCGCTTCAGCATGTCGTTGATCAGCGCCCGGTAGTTGGGTTTCGCCACAGCCGGCGACTTTTTGGCCGCAGCCGTCGGATGTCCCTGACTCTGACTCTGACTCTGGGTTTGGGCTGACGCCACCGGCTGGTAGCAGATGTCCGGTCCGTGGGGGTACACCTGGAGCGTGGTGCTGCTACTGGAGGAGGAGGCGGATGACAGCTGGCTGGCAAGTGGTGGCGGCGGGGCGGGCGGAGTGGGCGAGGCCACGGCTCCTGCTGCGGGCGATGGTGTCCCGTGGTGTCCGTGGTAGTACGAGGAGTACGGCGTGGCGCCCGTTCCAGTTCCAGTTCCCGTTACCGCTCCTGTTCCATGCTGTTGCAGGAGTTTCCCGTATTTGGTGGGATACCCATGGGGAGGCGTGGCCATTGCCGGCGAAGAGTCCCGCTCTCGCTGCGGTGCCTCGGAGTGCTGCGGGGGTGGTGGTGGTGGCTGCGGCGGCGCCGCTGTGGTGTAGGGATTGTGGTACAGCGAGGATCGCGTGGGCTGCGGCAGGGTCCCCGCCAGAGCGTGCTCCGGCTCAAGCTTCAAGTAGCCTGTGGAGGAGGTGGTAGCAGGAACCTTGGAGGAGGAGATCTTGGCATACCCATAACCGGTGGTTCTTCCATAGGCAGCTGCTGCTCCTCCCCCTCCACCTCCTCCCACTGCTGCTGGTCCCCGAGATGCGGGATAATCCAAGCTGGGAGCAGGTGTCTCCCGCACGTACTTCTCGATGGCATTGTGGACCGTCGTCTGGAACTTTTCCGTGCTAAACTGCGGCATCGGCATGTACAGGCTCTGGTGGCTCTGGTGGTGCGACTGCTGGAGGTGCTGCTGCTGCTGCTGCTGCTGTGGGGTCGATGTGGCCGTGGGCGGTGTGGGCGTGGAGGGGTGATGTGTGCTGCTGTTTGCTCCGCCATATCCTCCCGCCTTGCCGCCCACTCCTGGCTGTGTGCCGTAGCCCCCAGCCTCCGACTGGTTTCCGAATCTGCTGTCGGGCTGTCCTGCCACCCCAGGCTGTGGGCCGTATCCCGGCTGTGTCCCGTATCCGGGCTGTGGGGCATAGCCGGGATGCAGTCTGGCCCCGATCTGTTGTGCTTCTGACTGTTGTCCCATGGCAAATCCCTCAATTCTGTATCCCGAGGCAGTGCCTCCTCCTTGCGGTAGCTTCTGGCCGTAGGCGGAGTACCGCTGCTGCTGCTGCTGTTGCAGCTGCTGCGGCGGGGGATGGTGCATCTGCTCGTCCGGAGGCGGCCAGTAGGCCGTGCTGTGCGCAGGCGCCGCCTGCTGCTGGCTGCTGGTGGGATACATGGCGGGATTCCCGTGGTGGTGGCGTAGACCCGAGGCCGCTGCCGGTGCCGCAGATGGCACCGACTGCCCCGTCTTGTACGGCCAGCTGGGGTGCGGCGGCTCCGCCGCCTGTGGCACCTTCTTGGCAGCCGTCAGATCCCGATTGGAGGTGTAGTACTGTAAATGCGGATCGCTTGAGGATGTGGCAGTGGCAGCAGCAGCAGACCCTGCCTGAGGCACAGATTGCGACTGTGCTCCTGCCCCTGTCCCTCGACTTCCGCTGCTGTTCATCATGTAGAGGGCCGTTCGGGAGCGCTGCTCCTCTCCTCCAGGATTAGGATTATGTGACCCATAGCTGGTGGTGGCGGTACGCGGATGCGGATTCGGATGCTGTTGCTGCTGGAGGTGGTGTTGAGGTTGCTGTTGCTGTGGCGCCGGTGGTGGGTGGTGCAGATGCTGCTGCTGCTGCTGCTGGTGATGCGGAGGATGTGGATGTGTTTGGTGGTGCAGTGGCATTGACTGGTGCACCGCCTGCTGATGATGTGTCTGATATTCGTGATGTCTGTTGGGGTCCATTGTGGTAGCCTGAAAGAACAATTGGGATACATATTAAGGTTAGTAGGATGTTAAAATATTATAATAATATAATAAGAAAGCACACAAAATAAATGTTTGGTCAGAGCCATTTAAAAAGCGTAAATAAAAATAAAAACTAAAATAAAATATATTACACTTAAAAAAAAAACCAGTAAAACATTTTACATCAATTAAAACAAAGAAAAATTTGAATGTTAAAATAAAAAAACAATTATAAATTTAAACCATAATATAAAGTTAATGAAACAATATATTTTATATTAAGAAATCACTTTTATGCTAAATTTAAAATTAATCGAGTATAAAATGCCAACAAAAAAGCCATAGCTAAATGAAATGAATAAAATGCGACCCATACGAATGGAAATATAAAATTAAAGACCATGGGTATCTCTCCCTTCGCTTATCGGTACTTTAAATAATCTGACTAATGTCCTTATGGACATTTATTATTATTTAATTGAAGCATGAAACTGTTTATATCCCTCCAAATGCTAAGCCCAGGCAATAAACGAACAAAAGTTGAAACTTTGTTTTCTTGTTTATAATATTTAGCATGTCCAAAAGTATTTATTGTACGGTTATAAACTATCTAAATTGACTAGTTATCGTATATGAAAAAAGTCCAGAGAATGATGATGAAATTGCTAAAAACAAATAAACTTGTAAACTGCTCATCGCCTTATACAACAAATACTTAGAGACACAGAGAAAGAGATAGAGTTCAACGACTCTCTGATGAACGTGAACGAAAATAAACCGACTTTCCAATGAACCGAAAAAAAAAGAACAGCACGAAATGCCCCCATAATGAATCATATATGGAATGGATGGATATGGTGGGCAAAATGAGAGGGAAATCGGCAAGCGAATGGAAATACATCTACTGGGAACAGTTTATCTAAGAAGGAAATCCAATCAATGTCATGTTTATTGTACTTTTACTTTTAATTAAAGAAAAATTCTAGAAATCTAAACGGATCTTTAGCAGACCCCAACTAAAATAGAAATCTACAAAAATTCGAATTAAATTATTATTTAATAAGAATTATTCTGAAAACAAATAAATATGTTCTACGGAAAATGTCACCTTGTTTAAAATGCGAATTAATAAAAGTTTCAAGTAAACAATTTATTGCAGATAAGAGCTCCCCCCAGCTCTCTCGAGTTTCAGCTTCCAACCCAGAGATAAGATGGATCAGAAGTGAGGGTACGATAAGTACGATAAACTCTTCATTTTCTATAGATATATTCATTCATCAGATATCCCAGCGTTTGGGCAACCACAGCTGTACTGACCCCCCGAAAAAGTGCGAAAACACTATTCACGTGTTGCCGACGCGATAAACAAATGCGCGATAAATAGTTAAATAAAAATAAAATAGATAGAGAAATTGCGAGGAATATAAACATTTATTTATACGAAATTATCGCAGAGATAAAATATTAGTGGGGGAAGAAAAAAGCAATGACATGGCCATCATTTCTAACATAAACAAACACAAATATAATTATAAATATAAAAAGAGGAAAACAAATAGACATACTCGCGCGAGCGGGGGGGAAAAACAGAGACATGGCAAAATATCTATGTATTTTGATTTGCCCAGAAATTGCTGACGGAAAGGAACGGACGAACGGATCGGAGACGGAGCGGAGCGGAGTGGCGAGTCCACCCGACCGTCCATCAAAAGTTATTCAACAAAATGGATTTCGGATTTCTGTTGTGGATGCGTTGTGGGCGTGTTCCGTCCGACATTGTTAATTGTCATTTTCTATATGTACTTCGATGTATCTGCGATGTGTAGCTCTTGTATGTATGTATGTACCTATGTACATACATGTGTATACCTATTTCATGTTGATTTGTTTGAGGCAGCGACAAAACTACAAATAAGGAAAAAAAAAAAATTAAATGCCTAGCATATATCAAAATCCATCAAATTGGTTCAAAGCATTCGCTAATCGCTTTTGGCTCTATAAATAATAGTCGAAACTAGACTACCAAAGGGATTCTGGGGAATAGAGATTCTGTTGAAAATCTATTATTAATTGTAATGGGCATATCTTTGATCGGAAGTGTTTCTGTGAATTTAATTTAATTTTATATTAAATTAATTATATTTAATATTTGATCATACATTTGTCGTTAAGGCTATCAGAAGCCCCAAAGAATATTGTATCGGGAGAATAAAAATACTCAGTTATGTACATATGCATATATCCTAACCGAATTGGGGTCACAGCACTTATTTTATGTTTAGATCTTGGATGACTGTGGCCAACAAAGAGATCACAGAATATGGTCGTTTTCTCTAAGGCTAAGGCGACTTGCTAAGGTTCTTTCTAAGTAAATAGGCAAATAAATAATATAAGATAACATCAATAAACAAGGTTGGTCAAAATGATGAGAAAATAAAGGAGAATTGTATTTATTATTCATTTACTTATTATACTTCTATTTAGTTTTCATATTACATATTTCCTTCTGTCTTTTCTTTTGTCTATCTTTTCCGTCTTTCACTTATATGCACACTATTTGTTTTTATATATTTCATTGACATATTTTTCCCTCCACATTTATTTGATTCTAATATTTATTTTGAAATTTTTTTGTATTTGTAATTTATGTATTTTGTATATTATACATCTTTTCGTTAATATTAATCTTTATTAATCGATTAACAACATTTATCTTGAAATTCCTTTAAATATCTTACGTTTATTTTTTCATACGAAAAACGATCCTTTCCTTTCGATTTCCTCATGTGAATGAACTCGACAATAATTATAAATAATTCCATTATCCGTTGTCCAACTCGAATCGAGCATCGGCAACAGGCAATAATTTCGCTTTCTCCTTCGTGTTTTAGCAAACATTTTTGCATTTCCCTTTTGCTTCCATCTTTCTTTCATATTTTATCTCTTCGCTTTGCATATATTTGCCATTTAAAAATGTTAATTTTACAGCTGCAAGCGGTTTTATTCAACAAAAGTGAGAAAAAGGAAAAGAAAAAGAGTTGAAAATTCCCTCAGCTTTGGCCTTGGCTTAAAAACCGAACAAATACAGAAAGACAGACAGACAGCCAGACGGACGGACGAACGAACAAACGAACGAACGGACAGACTTTGCCACAAAATAGCTCAAGCTTTAAGTGAGAAGAACGAGGCACAGAGAAGCACAGTGCAAATACCACAAAAATAATATTAATAATAAAAGCAACGAAATTTCAACTTTACTTTGTTTTTAGCGCATATTTAGCTTTTTAAAATTATTGTCATTTTTATGTGACTGCCTGCAGTTGTTGTTTTTGCTACAAGATTTTTATTATACCCTTACCACGGCGATCCCCCTACCCCTACCCCTACTTGCGCTCACTCTGGCACAAGGAGGAAATAGAAAGAAAGTGTCGAAAATCTCGCCTGAAGCTGTCCTCCACTTCTGGGAAGGGGACCTTCTTTGTTTAATTTCACCCAAATTTTCTCTCAATAGGTCGCATGTTTGATACACCCAAGAACATTGTCTCCCCTGCCAATAGCTTTCCTACACGATAAGAATTTTGAAAGAATTGAAACCCCAAGTGCAGGAAACACGGCGATGAATGTCCATAATAGAAGTCTTTGTAGAAAACTAATCTGTAATTTGCTGATTAAGATTGGACAACTCGGTGATACATCATTGGAATCTATGAAAAATCAATCAAACCAAAAACTTTGGAATGTTTTTTAACGGTACACCCAGCCAAACTTCACAGTTGCTGTGTGACTATTTCCAAAAATATCTGTTTATGAAGAATATATTCAATAAATTCTATATTTTATATTATAAATTGATTGACCCTTCAGAAGTGTCTGTATGTACAGATGTACCTATAGTATGTACATATGTATACCTTTCTTTAGGAATGTATAGGACAACAACTCTTTCAAGGGTATACATTGCTTCGACTTGCCAGAAAACTAATACGAGTATTTCTCTTTTGTTATTGTTGCTATTGGTTTTGCTATTGCCGCTGCCTGCTGCTGTAATTGTTGTTTTGCTACAACCTCCCCCCGCGCTTTAGCTTTACCTTTTGCTTTGTTTTATTTTATAATTTCAATTTCACATTTCGCAAAAGTTCGTTGTGCTCTTACGTCGCCTCCTTACATACATGTATATTCTCGTTCGCAATTCGCGTTTTTCATTTCATTTGTGGCTGCTCTCGTACGGAGTGCGATTCGTTCGTGTTGTGTATCGGCATCGGCGGTGCTTTTGGGGTGTATTTATATATCATTTGCAATAACAAAATAAAAATGCGTCACAAATTTATTTGCACTTTTGCTGTCGGTTATTCGTATCGTATCAGACCCTCATTCTCTCGCAAGCACACACAGATACACAGATACAGACACATATAAGCACGAAGCACTATAGCCTTGACCTCTACACAATCTACAGCTGGGTCTGGGACTCGGACTGGTGGCTGGGGGCTGGCTGCTGGCTCGGGCTAATGCTCTAACAAAAAAATTGTTCTTTTTTTATAGTACTTTATTATATTTGGTTTTTGTTTGTTTGTGCTTGTCCAAGCCACAACTTCATTGAAACTTTCTACAGATCACAACTTAGGATTGGGGAATATTGAAAAGTCACTGGGGAAATGGTTTCTAAGCAATCTTTAAGAATTCTAATGAGTAGTATTAAATTGGGGGAAACCGTGTTATTGTAGGTTTTGCTACTGATAAATGTTCATTGCCATTTCTGATACGTTCAATTAAAACTATGCTTAAAAATTTTTAAATTTCTAATTTTTGTTTGTTCTTTCTCAATAATTTTTCCATTTGTATTACATTTTGCATTTAATGTTTTGTGCTTAACATATTCCCTGTATTTGAAATAGTTGTGTGAATTACACATTCAGAGATTTTAAATAAGATATTATAAATAATTCAAATGTCATTTTCTGATTCATATACCAGTAGATATGTATTCTCTTATCCAGTGTTAGATTTTCCCATTGAAAAAAATCCTAAAAATCGAATAATACACTAAAACACCTTTTCCTTTCTCTGCTGAAAGTACTTTATTCCCAAAAGGAAGCCTCTTCTTTCTGTATGGGAATCCCCAGACGATTAAAGATCCTTGTAATCCCCCGTTCAGTCCGACCCTTTGGCTATGCCCAAGAAATGCCCTCATCTGTTGCGGTGATGACAGAGAGGAAATGTAAATAAATTTCCAGATTGGCATTCGAAAATAAAAGCAATTAAAATACAGGTAAACAAAACAAAAGGCAGCGGCAGGGCTGTGGAAGGGCAGTGTTGAAAAATACTGATTCATAAAATGTATGCAAATTAGTGTTATTTCAAAGTACAAATATCTCAAAGCATTTGCATATTGGGAAGAAAACTTTAAGCAATGAAAATCAAAATCACAAAGAAGAAGAAGAGAAGCAATCACGTAAATGAGCGCCAACAGCCGAACACACGAGATCATCATAATGATGATGATCATCATTGAGTGCCGTTGCTGCTGTTGTTGTTGTTGTTGCCACTTTGGGGGCCAAATGTGAATCGTTTGTGTTGTATCTGTACTTGAGTGTGTATCTCTACATGTATTTGTAATTTGTGGCTGCTTTTGTATCTGTATCTGTATCTGCTGTATCTTTGTAGAATTTATGTCGCCGACGAAAAAAAAACGAAAAAAATGTTGTAATACATAAAATGAGAGCCGAACCGTAGCCGATGCCGACCCAAAGCCGAACGTTTGGCAAGACGAAGACGATATACACAGAGAGAGAAAGAGAGAGATAAGAGTCGTCAAGTGCTCTCCACATGTTCACTCAGCTGCTATCCCACTCTGGCAGCCGTTGTTTGCCTAAGAAGATGATGACAAAATCAAATAAACAGAAGCAATGGCAAAAGAAAAGCAACAACAGCACTCCATGCTGTACAATTTAAGATAACAACAATGTCAACGACTCCCCCGACTCCCTGCCTGCACCACCGCCCACTCTTTTTTCACTATTCACTGGGTTTTATGCTTGCCTTTTTTTAGTCCACCATTCACTCACTCTCTCGCTGCATTCTTCTGCAGCCGCTGTGGCTCTATACTACTCGTATAGAGTCCATAGCTCGTTTGCACGCTCCACGCTCTTCTTTCTCATCGTCAACTCCCACTGGCAAAGGTGTATTTGTATAAGGTAAGGCATTTTTGGAGCATACTCCAACGAATGTTGGCTATTTTTGTTCCGTTTGCTTGAGCGTTGAGCGAGAGAGAGCGTTGCAGAGACAACTGTGCACAACAAATACACCTTGCCGCATCAACTTTCCTGTTGCTCCACTTTTTCTTCCCCTACGTTTACTCCATATCTTACCATTCAATTACCCGCTCGCTCAACTCTCCTGTGGCCCCTTATATCACCCTTTCCCACCCTCATTGCTTTGCGAACGCAATGTACACGCGTTTTTTTTTTCCTGCCTTTCCACTTCCCCCTTCACCATTCATCATCATCCTCATTTCTCCCATTCAATACCAAAGCTACAACAACAACAACAACGGCATTTGTCGTGCTTCTTCCTCTTCTTGTTGCTGTTGTTGTTGCTGTTGCTAATTTTATTTCAATTTATTAGCATTTGTGCTTGTGCTGTGTTGTTGGTTTCTCAATGCCGCCAGTTTCGTTTTGTCATTGTTGCTGTTGCTGGCACTTTTTCATTGCTTTTTGGAAGTAAATTTGTCATACAATGATTTAATTGCTAAAATTATGAGTTTGGAAATGTGACAAGAAAAATGGGAACGTAAGAGAGGCAGGCAAGTGGCGAGAAAGAGTAAGCCTTCCTGTACAGTAGAAGCTCTCCTGAGCGGAGATATCATGCAGAATTTGACTGCCTTAGAAAAATAATCAAGGGAGTAGTGATATCAATTGTCACTGAAAAACTGTGTGCAGCCATCAAGGCCATCTTCGCCCACAGGAACTTTCCATCAAGATAGATTTTATTGTAGTCAAGTTAATTAAGGTTAAACAAAGAAGAGGGATAGATAGGGCCAAGAAAAAGGAAATGAGAGGCTTAATTAATGAGGAACTGAAAATGCCTGCGTTAAGTTAGGTGAGATCTCTCCATTTTCCAAAAACAAAAAGAAATCCCCCCAAAGAGATTGCAGAAATTGTATCCTAACTAATTTCTAGATAGAACAGAGAAACATTGCTCTACAGCAGGGCTATAGAATAATTAATCATTATAATTCAACCATTTTTAGTTGAGTAAACCCCCCTCTTTATATGTTTATCTATGACTAATAGATCATAGGGAAGCATAATGACAGTTTTTCTTCATCGTTCTGTGTACAAACAAAAATAAAATTTAAAAATAATTCAAACAATAAATATTTTCCCTGTTTTATTGCTTGGCCGCAGACTGCAATAGCAGCTGTAAAGTTGCCCTATAATTAAGCATAACATTTACCTATGGTCTTCAAATTCAAATGAAACAAACTTATTATGTAATTTCACTAAAATTTCTCTTCCTCTTCAACAAAAACAATTCAATGTAACGTAACAAAATATTTTTATACGTATTATGAAATTAAATCACGTCAAATGGTTGTACAACTGAGGTCAAGCGAATGTACATACCATACAAGCGTTGTAATTTCTTTTAAGCCCAATATTCTACATTAAAAAAAGAATGAACTTTTATCAATTATCTTTATCATTTTCAAACCTAAAATAAACCTATGTATTTCTGTTATAATATTAGTCGAAATAGTATTATTTCGACCGCAGCTGTAAAATGTATTGAGGTCCGTGACACATATTCCATTTGCATTCTACCATTCCCACTCGCATTATGTTTTGATTATTGTCATTAGCATTACTTCAGTTCCGTTCTGCTTTGTTTTCTACACGACATAAACTAATCAAGGAGAATTATGAAATTACATATAGAGGAACTAGAAAAGAGATGGAGAGAGATATAACACAGAAGAGAACGAACAGAGGAGAAGAAAATTATTATGATAAATGAGGAAAGGGGAACGAGCAATGGGGAATGTCCATTGTTGAATGACACGAACCAGCCATGGATTGCGAAATGAAATAAGAAACTACATTTTGTGGGCGTTTTTGTTGCAATGCGTTTAATTGTTGAAACAAAGAAAAATACAAAAACAAAAGATTCTTCTTTAAGGTTCTTTCTACCGGCTTTCAGGCTTAAATTATCGAAAACCAAATCGGTGGATCCCAGTCGATTCCCCGCGACGTATCTGCTGCTGCAGACGCATCAGCCGACCATGGGTCGTGCTATATAGGTCCACGTGGGCTATAAGCCTGGCGGACAGCCCCTCGCGCACAGCTCGAACAGTGCTCTGCTGATAGACCTGTCCCGTGCAGATCGTGCAGGGTAGTTCGTCTTCGCGACCTTCGAGTAGCTTGAGGCGGGTCTCGATCTCGTGTATACGCTCCTCCAGAGCCTTTCCCTCCTCCAGCAGCTCGCGTTCGGTGCGCCTCTGGTCTACCAGATGGCACCCGAGGCCTACCGGCATTGTTCCTGCTTCTCTCGAAGGCATTTTAATTCTTAATTTAGTTGATTTTCAGTTAATCCAAAAAGTTGTTTTTCAATAAGCGAAATATTGACTTTATATTATCGTTTCAGGGATGTGAATAAACTGTGACGTGATTTGAGGTCTATGTGATATACCTTACTTACGGTATGACAGCCAAATTCTCGGCATACTTGACATGTTAAATTTTTACTTACGTTGTAGCTTCCCATATATCAGAGATATTGATTTATTCATTTAGCATTTGCTACAGTATCGAAGGATATGATTTACTTGATTTAATTTGGTACTGGTACCAACAAAACAATGACAAAATATTTTAGAAAACTCCTCAGCTCTCGCAATATATTAGTTGAAGAGAGTGAGAGTAATGGAATGAAGCGATTGCGGTAGCATCTATTGCCTGAAAAAAGCAATGCTCGTGTGAACATGCATACATATGTATGTATGTTAGTATGCAGGATAAAATTATGGTCAAGACGATTGCGTCTGCACTGCACTTACATACGCTCAACGCTTAAATACACCAAAAATGCAAGGGGAGAAATATTTGAATATTTGCGATTGAGGAATTCCCGTTCTTACAGTGTCAATGCCTTTGATGTCATTTTAAATATCCAATTAAAATAAATCGTCTTTTGGTTTCGTTAATTTGCTTGAATTTTTTTTATATATTTCGCACTCATTCGCATTCATTCAACTTTTGTAAAACGGAGTTTTGTAATCTCGAATTTCCCTTTCGGACTGCAACAACAGGTGTCAAATGGAAACGAAACTCAACAAGTTTGACAACGAATTTGAGAGTCAATTTGTAAATGATTAGGGCATATAACCGTATGTTTGTATATGTAAGCATAAATATATTATAAAAAAATACTTTTATCTTGAGTCATTCAATTGTTTATAAATTGATATTGCATACATGGCATTTATTTTCAATTCAAACCGAAAATTTCCTGGTTGAAACCCCGAGTACGAGTACGACAGCGAAATGTGAGAGGAAGCTCTCAGTAGTAGTTTTACTTTGCTTTTTTTTATTTATTTTATTTTGTTTTGTCTAGTCAGCAATTGAGTTGGTAGCTGGAATTGTTGGATGTATCTGTGTCTGAGCGCACACTATTACTAAAAATAACCCAAGTAAACAAAAGTTGGCCAAAAGGGCAGATAGGGAAAAACTCCCGTACAAAGTAAATTTATAGTTGGGGAAAGTGCATTATGGGAGGAGAGAGAGGATGAAATGAGAAATGAACCAGCAAAGGGTTAACCACTTTACCACTTGGAATTTATGAGCACCGCTTCTTATATTTACGAACAAAGTTCTGGAATAAAATTTCAAGTTTGAAAGGTCTTAAAAGACTTAGTTGGAGGACACTCCCCCGCATAGATCTAACCACACAATAATCGCCAGAGAAAACTTCGAGTAAATATGTTTGTATGTACATATCGTTCATTTATTCATCTTTTAAAACACGTTTAAGTTTGTTTTGAATTATTTATAGAAAGTCTCTTCTCTTTCAGTTTATTTATAGCCAAATTATTTCCACTTTGTTGAAACAAACATAAACCAATTATTCCAGGGAATCTCACCAGAACAGATACCGGCGAAGTAATGAGCTACGATTACTATTCAATTGCATACAAATTAGAATAATTATCACTATTCTATAAATAGACAGACCAGAAACATAAGTTCTGTGAAAGTTTTAATCTATTTGGAGTACCCCATTTCATTTAATGATGTAATTAGTTGATAAACTATCTTGAAGATAAGATTGCAAGTGCTACCTAATGACTTTAAGGTAAATCTAATGATGATATGTTAATCCATTTCTCAGGACAACCTTTGCAAAATGTTTAATCACAAATAATCTTTAAACTATGTACAAAATTATGTTCTTATCAACTATTTGTTGCTCCCTTAATAATCCCATCGTTTTCACACGAAACATTCATACAGAGAAAAAAGAAACAAATCGAAAGATACTATTTCTTGAAAGCTAACGTTATTCATCAGTCAGTTAACACACACACACACACACACACAGGCACAGACAGACAAACAGATAGCCAACCGTCTTGTCTTGGCTTGTTCTGTTTTCTGTTTTCGGTTTTCACTGCTGTTTGTTTCGAAACAAACCGGTTAAACGCTTTCAGCACAAAAAGCACAATAAAGCAACAGAGAGAGGGAGAGAGAGATAGAAAAAAAAGAACAACTCATAAAACAAAAACCGTTTAAGCGTACAATAGGCGTAGAGATAGGTAAAGTACGAGGGGTACGAGAGAGTACAGGAGTACAGAGTGCACAGAAGGGGGATTGGGGAGGCCGCACAGATAGATTGACTACAACTAATTATCAACCTCAACGAATCGCGCACAGCTGTACAACAAATACAGTTCCACAGTTCGATCAAGTTCTCATTGTCTTTCTCATTCTCTTTCTGTCTCTGGCTTCCTTCCACCGCAACAAAACTATCAACAAATCAAATGGACAATTGGTAATAAGTAGCGTCGAATATTTCGATTGAAAGATACCCGATAAATCCGATGTAATATGTATATAGAATTCATATATAATAGAATTTATTTTCCCGCAAAAGATTCTTACCAATAATACCCTAATTTCAAAATTTTGCGAAAAGTCTACCCCTTGAGGATGGGTTTCTCCTCAGAAAACGTAGTTTATATTTTAAATATATTTAAAACGATTTGATATCTTCTAATGGTAATCTTTTCTATTTTTTCTTCAACATCAATATATGTATAAAATATGTTAATACATATGTACATACATATATATGTATGTATGTTTCCCAAGAATATATAAACAAAATAGAGCATTGGAAACAACGGAAATTAATTATCAGGTATACAACAAAATAATATACTCTAAAATTACCCAACGATTACCAGGTAAAACCGATACACACTCCTCAGGGGAGCCGAAACATTGTAAGCATTTTTATTATTATTGTTTCTGTTTTGTTATCAGTTTCGGTAAACTGTTTTGCCTGATTTCGATCGAGATTAGCCAAAAACGAGGAGAACACACACATGCATACATATTTGATGAATAGATGTATAGATGTATGGGTGTAGTTTGTGGGTTTCCGTGTGCTATTTATTTTGTTTGATCTGAGTAATTTATGAATCAGTTGAACTATTTACAGAGCCATAGAGGGAGAGGGACAGAGTGCGACAGCTCTCACACACTCTTTACAAGCTGATAACAGAAAAGCGAACAGAGAAACGTGACGTTGACGTGGGGTCAGCGAGGGAGAGAGGGGACACGCCGTTCCTCGGTATTTCAGATATTTTGATAGGGAGAGTGCATGACGATGATAGGAAATTATACGGTATTTATTTAAATATTTGTTAGGTACTGTATGTAAATATGTATGTATGCTATTTTGTTGTTGTTTCGGAATGTTAAATGCTGTCATAACGACCTGTTACGTTATTCGATTGGATTTATATTGAGCGGCTTATGGCTTATAATGAAGTTATGTAAAATATTTAGGAAGCAGACAGTACAGATTCACTTACTGCTTTCTCGAATTCTCATTCTGCTTTTTTTGTGTATAACCATTATCTAAGTGGGCTAAAATAGCAATACATATAACCATATAAAGGTCACCATCGTAAACTGGATTAAACTGTTCAATCGGAACAAGTTACATAAGTTTCTATAAGAGAAACAAATATCTACTTAATATTAAAGCTTATCTTTAACCGCAGAACAAGAACCACAATTAGATTTATAAGAATTATAAAGGCCTTTGGCAAATACCCAATAAAACACCCAAAATCACCACCTACTGTCCAGCTAGAGCCGTTATGCTCATGTTAAAAGCAGAGAGCTCCTCTCTCGAGTTCACCGAGGAATAAGTGTGAAAGGAGAGCGGCAAGAAGAGCAGCAGCTGTTCTTATCAGAAGGCAAGCTCAAAGTAACTGTAAATAAGCCACCTGTAGCCATTTCGCATGCTCCAAAAAAAAAAAAAAGAATGAAAGAAAGAAGAGCAACACCAACACAATTATTAATTCTCCCTTTCTCTCACACTTATTGGCTCTCTCTCCAAATCTCTCACTCTCTGCCAAGACACACAGCAGCAACAGCTTAATTGTGGTACGCATTCATTAGATTATGTTTTCCAAGAGAAAGAGGAAAATGTTTGAAGAGCTTAAAAGTAATAAGTATTAATATTAATTATTACGCATGTGTACATACCTCCAATTTGAGGGTATGTTTTAAAGTTGAATATTTGCTTCCCCAATCCCGCCCACGCGGGGGCCTTTCCTTCGTTCCCTTCTCGTTTTTTCCTTGCCTTCTTGTTATTTGAGGCGGCTTTTACAGTTATTTAGTGTGACAGCGATGTAAGATTTGCCTTGTAGTTGTTGTAATTCCTTTTAGCATTGCTTTTCACTTTACTTTACTTTTCTCGCACACACACACACACAAGCACACATGGAGAGATTTCTTGTGAAGCAACTTTTTCTCTCTCCCCTCTTTCCTTCTTTCTTTTTGCTTTTTCGTTGTTAAAAACCAGTATTTGGTGGCTTCTTTCACTTGTATTTTGTTGTTGTTGGATTTTTTCTTTTTTTGATTCAAGAAATTGTTGAATAACGGTTTCGGTTAGCCGCTATGTTGCTTCTGTTGTTGCTGCTTTTTTCATGAATTTCACTTTGCTTTCGCGACGGACGCATTGCTTCTTCTTCTTTTCCTCGTTTTATTTTTTAGCCGTGGGAAACCTGTCCAGCAGCATTAGTTTTATTGTTGTCGCTGGTCCTGCTCCCTAACAGCGGCATCTTGTTGCACATTTTCCCTGAAAATTCTGTGAAACATTTACATTTTTGTAGTAAAACATCTTTTGTACATATTTACTTTTAAATGCAAAGCAAAAACAACAAAAAACGCTCATAATGGAACGGTTCATTGCCACACAGACACTCACGCACACGTAAACATATTTCAACACAGGAACAGACACATCGTATTCGGTTCACGCTGGAGAGGAGAGGAGGAAGAGCATATTCCGTTTCAAGGCAACTTCATTTCTTTACTCCTCCCACTCCACTCCTCCCTCACACACTCGTGCCCCTGGGAAACAAAGAAAATTTCACTTGTCTCGACGAGACGAGACGCGCCGAACCACAGCCATAGACACTCACACACGCACACTCTCACGCTTTTTGGAATATTTTGTAAATCAAATAAAATACCACATTCCAAAAAGGAAACAAACACAATTTACGGAAAAACACATTTATTTGACACAATTACAAGGTTTCTTTTCTTGCTTTTTGTTGTTGTTGCTGTTGCTGTTTGCTTTTGCGTTTGCCTTTTGCTTTGCTTTGCTGTTGTTGTTGGCCTACTTTGTGTGTGGGGAATTTTGTAGTTGTATTTTTCTCTTCTTTTCGTTGTTGCTGCTGCTGCTCTTCAACTTCTCTTCGTTGAAAAAATTTCACACGCGCCGTTTTTTCACATCATTTCTTTTTGTTTTGTCTTTTACGTAAATTGATTGGTATTCTTGCACTTGATATTTTAGCCTAAACGGGGGGTTTTACTATGCGTGTGTATGTTGCACTATATTTATTATATATTTTATATATACATGCTTTTTTGTTATAAAAAGAAATCACTACGAGAGACGGACGAGCGCGATGAACGGTGAAAAACAAAAACAACCAACCGAGGGCGCTCATACGTGAAACGCCAAAATGAGTTGGAGAGCATATTTGGTTTTAACGAAATTTGTCGGTATTTTTCTGTTTTCATACATTTACTTCCGTTTTCCAACACTAAGTTTGTTATGTTAATAACATAATGTTAACATAACATTATGTTAAAATTATATTAATATGAAATCAAACGATCCCAAGAGCCGATTGCTTGGATCTGCGGTTTGTAGCTATATCAACATATACTGGTACCTGTTGAAATATATATTTGGATAATTTGTATTTACAAAAGCGAAAACATTCAACTTACCACTCGGATATAAATAAATAAATAATAAATAATATATAAATAAATAAATAAATAAATTTGCTGCCGTCCAAGTAGATGGCAGCGAGGGCCAGTACCCTCAATTTAACTTTGCCCTGACCCTATAAGTAATATTAATTAATTAAACACTTACGATACCCATTAAATATTATTCGTCAAAGTAAAAAAAAAAGGGGTTTGCTTTAAAGGAACCCAACGAAGACAGCATGTTTACTTTCCCTCGGTGCATCTCATCCAGATGCGCCGGACGCTCAAAAAACTTTATAAGCCGCTTAAGTTCTCCAACATTTGTTGTCCTATCAAAGGTTAAAAATAAATACTCCATATTTTTAATTTTTGGTGTTCTTGGAGATTCGGTCGACACTCCCGCTCCGCTATGAGCTGGTGACGGCGGCATGTAGTTGGCATTGTGGGCATACGCTTCGGTTATGGAGGTATTGAGGGAAATCCCCGCTCCTCCGGTTGTGGGAGTGGATGTAGCACTGATTTCCGGCGTGTAGCCGCCTTTCGATTTAAGTCCTTGCCGCTGATTTTTGGATGCCGACGAGTCGGCTGTTGCTGTCGCTTGTGACGAGTTGTGTCCCTCTGCAGTAATGGTAGCCTGATTTTGCTGTTTTTGCCCAGCATCGAGGGATTCTTGTAGGTCTGCGTGGGCTGATGCACGGTCGGTGATAAATGTTGCTCACATCGCTAACTACTGCAAAAGCGGCTTGCGTGGATGGTGGCAGGTTTTGAGCCTTCTGCGATCTCACTGAGAGAAAAAAACAAGATGAAAATAAACTTTTTTATTAATAACACTTTTTTACCTGATCGTGGCGTCTGCTGCTTCTCCTCGTCGTCGGAATCGAATCCGCCAAACAGGCGCCCAGAAGCTCCTCAAATGGTATGGTGTCAGCCTCATGAAGGGAGGTACCCGGGACCCGTTCCGCCTCCGCCTCTGGACCTTTGCGGAATCATGCGGCTGTTCCAGGTCCTCCAGAACCTTGAACGTCAGCTCAGCTTCACTGTTCTCCAGATGGCCTGAGATATCAAATGGCAGACGTCCTATTCAATTCCTTGGAGGCGCGCTTCGATATTTGACCACTTAGAGGCGACATAGAATTATTCATATCACTGCTCGTCTTGGCCCGCTTTAACGATAAAGAAAGCCGATATGTCTGAAGTCGATATGTCTGTAATCGATATCTCTAAAATCTCCACTGTTTTAGCTACAACAGAAGCAACAACAGGTTTTAATTGCAAGTCGTATTGTTGTTGTCATTTTGAACGCAAACCGCCAACAAAAAATATGAATTTTTACAACTGTCACGTCATAATAAAAAAATAATACACTCGGGACGATTCCGATGAGGAGGAAAAAACAGGATGATGATGAAGCGGCGAATGAACTCAATGATGAAGATGAACGGGAACGGGAAGATGAACATGTTGATGAATGGGACCTACCATGGCCACCTGCAGACATGAAGGAATTAGAGCCAGTGGAGCGGGACAGCACCGCCCGGGAAGTCTCTGACACTGATTTGCAGTCGACATCGTTGACGGTGTCAACACCGTCGACAACTTCTAAGGCCTTATCAGCGTGGTCCACGTCAAATTCAAATGCTTGCGGTGAAGCAACCGAATTCGTAAATCTGTACTCCATCCTATGGAATACAAATGAAAAAGATCGTGGGAGACAAATATTGCATAGAGCAAATCAAAGAAAAAGATTGTTCAAATCACATGCCAAGCCGCTATCAACAATAATAGTTGAATATTTTTGCAAAAATAGGCTCCTTATGAGCAAAAGAAATGCCAGAGATTTGGCCAGGACCATACGAATATTTTACCCATTCGAAAATCGAAATTGGGCAGATAGCTTGTATTACAAATTTCGACGAGGAAAAGAATACAGGCGACATATGAACGAAGAATGGGCGGACTGCTGTGTCACAGAACAGCACAGATCAATTCTGTAAATTTCATTCTGTTCATTTATTTTACTATATTATTATTATGTACATACGCGGTGTATTCATTCTGTTCAATTCATAATTTCAATGTTCAATTAATCATTAATTTTACTATAATTTAGCTCAATATATTCAATATATTATAAACGATAGCCGGTGTAAGATGTATCCAGTATGGTCGCCTCTGGGCTACGAATGGATGGCTTATTGGGATGGCGTCCTGATGACGTTCGTCCCAACAATGACGACTGCTGGAGCAATGGTTAATGGTGGCATCGGCGACAGCTTTGGCCAGTGATTGAGTGCATCTTCGATATGCCTGGCTACCAACTAATTATGACTGTATGGGACTCACCTTTTCCAAAATTAACTGATCCGGTGCTATTTCAATGTCCCTCTGGCGTTGCAATGGAAGGTTCGAAGAGCCCAACTTTCTCTTGCGCTGGTGTTGGTGCTGGCACTGTCGCTGGCGCTTCTGCAGCAAGTGTGCAATGATATAGTTATTTTGCATTAAAATAACTACACATAGTTTTCTTCTTTCTATATCCATTTCGCTCGGAATTTTGTATTTTTTGCCGGGTTATTCTTCTTCTTCTCCTCCTCTTTCTGTGTTGCAGTTTCCAGCACTGTCTGAGCCAGCTGACCAGTTGTCGGCGTTTAAAAGTAAAGAAACAACGTCGACGGTTTGCACTTGTACAAATATCAAAATTGGCTGTAAAATCAAGTCAAATATGAGGGAAACAACAATAACATTCTGGCCATATATTTAGAGGGAGTCAGACAACACAGTTGGTTGCCGTCGGCCGCAAATAAATTTTGGCGCCAATATGAACAGTTATGTGAAGCGATGAATATACGCTATTTTTAATTAAACTTGTGAGAAATTCCCGATACGTTTGGGACTCCACCAATGTCAGCTAAAAACAGAAAACCAAAAGGCAGAACTTCTGGCTGGAAGCTGCCAAGAAGATGAACAGAGAAACTGGCCTGAAAATGGAAGTGGGTAAGCTAATAAAACAATTAATTAATCCTACCGCTTGGAAGTACATGGACGAGATGGACTTCTGGGCAGATTGCAGAATACCACCGGGATACAAAAGTATCCAATATCTTATTTCATATTAATATACAAAATATTATACCTTCCAATATATTAACAGCAAAAAAATATATATCGATATATATATCGATATCCATATATATTCAACATCTGTGCTATATAAACAAACGAAACTGCGTTGCATTGCTTTACTTGACAAATTTTTGAGGCGCTCACAAGCAGTTAGTAACGCAGTCGACAGTGCTCTAAACTTATTTTGAACATCTAAATTCTGGTTATCCAACTAAATTGAAGGCAAGATGGCTGCACGCGATGCTGCTTCGAATCAATTGAATGACTACAAGAACACCCAGACGGTGAGTGGGAAAGAGACGGAGCAATATGTGTGTGTGAGTGAATGCCGGGCCCCGAAAAGGAAAGGAGAAAAACAAAGAGAAGAAAGAAAAGGAAAGGCAAAGCGAAGTGCAAAAAAAATTATTATTCAAAAATCAATAACAAAAAAAACATGACAATGAATGCTACGTGGAGCCTGTACTTTTTCAAATGGTACCAAATTTTTCAAGCAGTTCTCCACGGGAGAG